TCAGTAAATATTTTCCATCCTTTTCAGTTTCAGCAAGCAAGGTTGTATCATCTGCATATCACAGGTTGTTAATGTGTCTTCTTCCAATCCTGATGCCACATTTTTCTTCATAGAACCCAGCTTCTCGGATTATTTGCTCAGCATACAGGTTGAATAAGTATAGTGAAAGAATACAACCTTGTCACACACCTTTCTTAATCTTAAGCCATTCAGTGTTTCCGTGTTCTGTTCTAACAACTGGCTCTTGGTCCAGGTACAGATTCCTCAGGAGCACAATAAAGTGTTCCGGAATACTCATACTTCTCAATGTTGTCCATAGCTTGTCATGATCCACACAATCAAAAGTCTTTGCGTAGTCAATAAAGTATAAAGTTTACAAGGAGCGAATAGTGAGGTTGAACTGCCAACCTTGAAGGATGAGTGACATGGAAGGCAGTTAAAAAAAAATAGAGGAAAAAAGTAGGGGATCAGCATAAAAGAAGACCCCCAATGAGATGGACTGACACAGTGGCTGCAGCAATGGGTTCAAACATGATAGCACTTGTGAGGATGGTCCAGGATTGGGTAGTGTTTTCTTCTGCTGTACATACGGTTGCTATGAGACAGAACCAACTCCATGAAACGTAACAACAACAGGTTCTGGGCTACGGAAGCTCTTTGAGTTTATTATGCGGTTCCATATTTGTAATATCCCCACAGCACACTCTTACTATCACCGGGTGGGAGAGGAAGAAGCTGGGATACAGAGATTAGTGGCTTGCCTAAGATCACAGACCTGGGCAAAGGTAGACCTAGGAGTGTACCCCCGAAGGGTCTATCTACTAAACACTGATCACTACAAGTGCACGGTCTCCATGATGTCAGCATTATATCTGCCCCTCATGAAGATGTTCACCATTGTTTGTTCTTTCATAGACTACTTGCTTGAGAGTAAGGGTCTTTGTTTTTATCACAGAAAAGTTACTATGACGACATTGTGTCTGTCTCCAAAGATGCACAGAAAAAGTAGCAAGTGCTACAGACCTTTTTTTAAAAAATGTCCTTCAGGAATATTCATGACTAACAATGGAGTGGGTAACATCATGGCTTTGTAGGATAAGCACCGGATTGTGAACCACAGCTCCATGGGAGAAAAATGAGGTTTTCTGCTCCCACAAAGATTTACCATCTCGGAAACCCTGTATAGGGTCGCTATGGATTAGAACCAACTCGACAGCACTTAAAACAACACTGTGACAGGGGGAATGAGGAATCATGGAACTCATACTCTCACAAAACTGAATTCCCCCCAGAACGCTTATGGAAGAAGCCCTGAACTGCAGGATGGTGTGGAGTTAGAGGAATACAGAATGAGGAATCAGGAGATATGACCCTGTCACATACACAGTGTGTGAACCTGGTCATGCCATTCTTCCTCTCCTAACCTCACTACCTCCCAGCCCCTGGTAAAACTAACCAACACCTGCAGGCCCTGATAGTCTTCCATCTGCATTGAGTTTGTCAGTACCAAGGCAATGCTCATAAGCTAAAAAACCCATGAGGGTCAGTCAGGCCACATGCATGAGGACGGTCAAATGGATGCAAAACATTAGGGAGTGGTGAGGTCTCGGGAAAGTCAGCACACTGCTGCCCAGCTAAAGGCGGAGAGTCTCTGTGCAACTCTAGCTCATTCTGCCAAATAAGAATAGGAGCCCAAGGCTTAGCAATTTCAAAGGAAACCAATAAGCTAGGTTTTTATCTTTCAAGTTTTAAAATGTGAGACAGTTAAACATGTCTTCACTCAGGCCGCCACTTTGTAACCCTGTTTTAAGAAAGTACTAGGAGTCACTCAGGAAATTCTATGTCTTTGCTGCCAAAGAACAGTCCCTACTGAGGAAGAACACAGGAGGTGCTTAATACCACTTGTTAGGTAAATATAGAAAAAAAAGAAGAACCACGTGGGGGTTTAGAGCGAGTCCGTTCAATAAAGGGCACGCAAGATGCTGAAGTTGCCTGTTACATCCTCCTCTCAACATTTTCTTTTTCTGCCACTCTCAATTAATCAAAAGTGTCAGCCCTTCGCTTTAGATTTCCCAGCTGGGGTGGTTAATTGAATTTTAATTAATGGCAACATGAGAAGCATAAAATAAAATCCTAGCTCAAGGAAGATGTGTAGAGTGCACTGGGTAGGGAATGTTCTTTTGAGATTATCTCAGTCAACCCTCTTTGTTCCACAGCTGGGGAAACTGAGGCAAGGGAACGTTAACTTACTCAAAGCCACCTTGAGGCCTCCTGCAAGACTCCATGCTAACCCTATCACATAATCTGTCCAGCCTTCAAAGATGGCATTGACCAACAGAGTCAGGAAATCCTATCAGGCTGGATGAAAACGGAAAAGACGGGCTTATATTATCCCTGCATCTGACTTCCTTTCTCCTGAGGATGACAGGAAGTAGGTGGGGCTACTGTCAGTCTGACAAGTTCTTGACCTGTCGCAGTACCAGCACAAATGATAAACTACATCAATCTCCTAATTTGTCAGAGGAGAGAGAGCATGCCAGCTTTTGTTACTTGCTTTTCCTTTATCACCGTCATGTAACCCACAGAGCCCCACAGAGATCTGGTTCAGTCCAATTCAAACTCCAACTCCCTAGTCTATCACATTCTGAAACATTCTGTCATTGGTGTAGATTTCTGTTTAAGATTTGGAGGATTGAGGTGTCAATGAGAGAAGTCACTCTTAAGCCCACAGTCTTTCCCCATCTCATTGGCTGCACCTCCAATTTCTCTCTCTCCTCCTTCCTCTTTCTTGGGGCTAACCAATATGTCCCTCCCCTTTGCTGATGCAGCAAAGTTCCGCCCATATGATGATGAAAAGATTCCTAATGATCACATATAGTGAACCGCCCTGAAAGGAATCCTGCAAAATGCAATTGTCCTAACACTATTGTTGTTGTTGTTGTTGTTAAGTGCCGTAGAGTCAGTTCCGACCCATAGCGACCCTGTACAGGGTTTCCAAGGCTGTAAATCTTTACGGGAACAGAAAGCCTCATCTTTCTCCCACTGAGCCAGCTGGCTGGTAGTTTCGAACTGCTGACCTTAAGGTTCACAGCCCGATTCTTAACCACTACACTACCAGAGCTCCTGTTAGGTATATACTAAATGTTGGGTAGAAAGACTTGAACCTTGAACCTTTCAGTGAGTAGAAAAGTGCGTTACTTGAGTGCCCTGCTCTCAAGTAAAGGGACTCTGACCTTTCCCTATATACTCCTTAATGCCTCTGAGGACCTGCCATCCAGTCCTCCCTACCAGCCTACCACAACCCTGGCTCAGCCCCCAACCCACCAGACCCACCCCCTCAATTTCAGGGTCAGAATTCTCATCATCTTGTGTCCTTTAGAAAACCCCCTGTGACTACAGACTGTCACTTCTTGGGGTCCAGGCATCCAACTTGGTGAACAAGAAGTTGATAAGCACAATTTGGGGTCAAAACCAAGAAGTTATACCCTACCCTCTTGTACAATATAATAATCAGCTCTGATGGTGATTAAAAAGAAAAGTCAAAAATTGTTCCAGGCCAAAACAGCATCATTGGAACCATGTGTTTGACTTCCTGTTGGGACTACTTTACCAACCATGGCACTCACTGAATAGAATAAGTCCCAACATGTTTGTTTCAAATAATACAGTTTAAAATGTCCTCTCTTGAGATCGAGAATATGTCTCATGGTGTTTGTTGTTGTTGTTAAGTGCCGCTGAGTCAGTTCTGAATCACAGCGACCATGCATAGGGTTTCTGAGGAGTGGCTGGTGAATTTGAACCACCAACCTTACAGTTCAAACCGACCTTGTAGTCCAGTGCTTATTCTACAGTGCCATACCAAGACTCTAAAATCCAGCAATTACTTCTACTGCTGCTGTTGTTAAGTGTCATCGAGTCAACTCCAATTCAAACGAACTCTCTACAGAGTTTCCAAGGAGCAGCTGGTGGGTTTGAACTCCCGACCTTGTGGTTTGCAGTTTGGTGTTTATCCTACAGTGCCACACCAGGAGTGTTTGGAAAGAGCCAAAAGGAATTCACGCTCAGAGACAGGCCCTCACTTTTTTCTTCCCCACTTCTTTCCTTCTTCTCTACCTGCTTTCCTTCCTTTTAGCCTGCTTTCCTTGCCTCCTTATTTCTCTCTGAAATCCCTCTTTCTCCTTTTTTCCAGCAAACCAAGAAATTAAAAATTCCAGCGCCACGCACCACCGCCCGCAAACCAAGTCGGAAAGGCTCCACACCCAGTCTGTCTCGGACCAGTGGGGGGTCATCCCCCCAGAGCAGCATGATCTCTGTAAACCCAGGCTCAGATGAGCTGCCAAGTATGGTCACCCAGGGGACAGGTAGCAAGGACATCGAGGACAATGAGTCATGTTCAACCAAACCAGATGAAGAACCTCTTCATATCAGTAAGTTCTGCCTTGGTTCTGACCATCTGCTCTAACCTCTTGTCTGTAAGACAGACACAAAGAATCTCTTGTGCTCCATACTCTGCCTTCATGTACAAAACAGACACAAGGACACCAGCCCTGGTCAATTTCCTTGGACTCCCTTGCTTTCTCCCTCTGGAGATCAGAAATACACTCTGTAACTTGGATTAATCTGAGGCACTTCTCTTAGTGAGACAGTCCATGGTTATTAATTGCCCCTTTTTTTTTTTAATTTTAATGATTTATTTAGTTCATTTATGTAAAACATTGTCATTTCAACATGAAATCAATATAAAATAATGAGGTATTTTTACCTTTTTCTATACTAGATCTCTGAAATCTGGAGTCTACTTTTTAAACAACTTTATTAGAGTATAATTTACATATCATAAAGTCACTCATTTTAAGAGTGCAGTTCAATGATTTTTAGCTAACTTACAGAACTGTGTGACCATCACCACAACCAAATCTTAGAACGTTCGCACTGACGCAGAATGAAACCTTGTGTTCATCTTCTCTTCAGTCTCTCTCTACTCCCACCCCAAGTCCAAGGCAACTCCAAATCTGCTTTCCATCTGTAGGGGTTTATCTTTCCTGGACATTTCAGATATGGAAGTTGTATCACTCTGTAATGCTCACCTTTTCAGCATTTCACCACAATGTTGGAGCTACAGAACCTTTAAACAATCTGTGGAAAACTATAGAATGCCTCTCCAGGAAAAAATGCCAACGTGCATATGTGCAATTATAAGGGAGTTGGGGGTGGGGGTGCTGGTCTGTGGGACTCAGCCAGACAGAATTGTAACTGGATTCCAGACTCATGTAAGAAATTGGTTTTCAGAACTCTACAGCTTGGGTTTATATAATAAAAGGAGATAAGAAAATAGAAAGGGCTCATACAGAAAGAGATGAGGAAGGTAGAGGAAGAAAAAGAAAGGTAGGGATGTGAAGGAGGACTGGCCCACTGCAAAATCATGGACTCTGGTGTCTAGAACGCTTTCCTGCCGAATGCCCATCTGCTGTGCCCCTTTAGCAGGTCCAAGCTGAGACCTGCCTGTTCAGCCAGTATTGTTTAGAGTGCCTGCGGTAACTGAGGGTGGACAAGGCTGAGCTATAAGGGACTGGTGTAGTGTACACTTGAGAAGGACCAGCTTAGAGTGTGCTCTAATGGGCAAAGATACGAGTGGGTAGAAGTGCAAAAATCCAATTGGTGGTCAGCACTTAAGAATGACTGCTACCAACAAGAAGAATTCTCACCACCTCCCTTGTTCACAGGGGGCCAGAGGACTCTCCAAGCCCTGTAGGTTTTTTGCTGACTGGAAGTTGTCTTAGGCTAGGTTCTCTAGAGAAGTAAAACTAGTGAAACTTATATTTAATATTAATATTAAATATATATTTTGTTGTTGTTAAGTGCCGTCAAGTTGGTTCTAACCCATAGCAGCCCTGTATAGGGTTTTTGAGGAGAGGCTGCTAAGCTTGAACCACTTACTCTGAAGTTCAAACTGACTTTGCAGTCCAGTCCATTAACCCACAGTGCCACACCAGGACTTTAGGTAGATCTGTTTGTGTGTGTGTGTATAAAAGAGAAGTTTATATCAAGGAAATGGCTCACAACTGTATAGGTGGGTGTCAGGCCAGGTTTTCTAGAGAAGTAAAACCAGTGAAACATATATAGAGAGAGACGTTTATTATCTTACAATTGTAGAGTCTCTGGTCCCCAGTGGAAGAGAGCTCCTCCCACATGTCTATTATACTGGGAACAGGCCACACCCCTAAAGAAGCATCCCTTTAATTGACTGGCTGCTCACAGTCGCTCATCATAGAGTTAACTATGCCTGTATTAGGTTTCATCATCATGGGAATAAGCACATCCCAACTGCTCAACCTGGCCTATCCGAGTTGACACAGAAACCTAATCACTACACTGGGAAAGTTCCAAGTCCAGGTCAGGTGAACCAAGATCAGCAGGTAAGTCTGAAAGACAGACAGGAAGAGAGGCAGGCAGGTAATAGAGCAGGCCAATGGCTCAAGAACCACAGGTTAGAGAATGAACCAGATGCAAGATCCAGACCCAGCAGAATACAAACAAACTTTTTCTGAGTGTCCAGTATATTGGAAACAGGCCACACCCCCAAGGAAACATCCTTTCAATTGATTGGCTACTCATGGTCAGTCATCATAGAGTGAACCACATTGTATTGGGGATAACATCTCAACTGCCAAGCCACTGGGGATCCTGGTCCAGTCAAGTTGACACAAAGTCTTAACTATCACAGATATATTTTCTGAGAGGAAGAGGAACTTAGATGATGGGCAGATGTGTGACTCTTAAGGATTTCTTGAACCTTCTTTCATTCAACATGTATTTATTAAGCACCTACTGTGCGCCTGGAGATGAGATTTATAGTACCGTCTCTCCCTAAGTTTATGTTTTTGAAGAAGGAAGCAGACAATAAACAAGAAAACCATAAGCAAGACAATTGCAGGTAATAGATGCTACGAAGAAAATCAAGAGCATTGCAGTAGGGAGAGACTATTGGTGGGTATGAGGCAGATTTAGCCAGGATGGTTGAAAAATCCTCCCACAGTTCTGATGTCAGACCTGAGGACTGAAGATAAAAAGTTGGGGATGGAGGTGGGTGTCAGAGCATGTAGGGCTTTTGTATGGCCAGGTGAGGACTTCAGAATGACTCACAGTACAATAGGAAGTCTGTGCAAAGTTGTAAGGACAAGAGTGGCAGAAGCTGGTTTACTGTGTGAACGTGCCTGTGTGATTATTAACATTACATCCATCTACTTTTGTCTTTTTAAGTAAGAAGACAGAGTATCCCCAGTTTCCAGAACTGGTACATGGCTCTCGTTATGCTGAAAGCAGCAGGGAGCTTCTGGGAGCGTGGACCTTGCATTGCAAGGAACGGTGAATGGTGCTCTCTCTCTGGGCACATGAGACACTGAAGACCTTTCTCTGGTGGCCAGCTTCCTCCCACCTCTAACCAACTGCCTGGGCCAACTGTGCTGTTGTTTAAAACTTTTGGGAACCCTACCTGTCTTCCCCCATATTACTTTTGTCTCAGTTTAGAGATAGAAACATGGGTTTCCAGGTCAGATCTGGCTCCATGGGTTGTTTTTAGTACACACTATGCTTTGCCCCCACAAAAAGCAAAAAGTGACATTTCAATATTGAGAGATTTTACATACAAATTCACACTCTGAAAAATCTCTCTTTGAAGGCCTAGTGATCTGCAATCCTGTCTGTCAGCAACAGGCTGGAACTCCTCCCTCTGGCTGGGACATGTGCTCTCTGGTTTACCACAATCCCCACCACTCCCTGTTACCTCCAGTTATTGCTCCCAGCTGGCTGAGAGTTTGCTCTTTAACATCACCTGTGCCCTATTGTTCTACTTAGAATCCCAATGATAATAATAGTTTAATAGCTAAAACTAAGGAGGACTTCTATGTACCAGACACCATTCTGTCTCCTTACACACACTGATTCATTTAATCTTTTTCTGCCTATTTTCTCAGATGAGAAAACTGGAGCACGGAGAGTTAAATTTATTTCCCAAGGTCATACAGAAAGTAATGAATGAATTTGAAACTAGGCAATCTGGCTTTCAACTTGCATGTAATCTCTGTTTTATCAAAGTTTCTAGAAAAAGTGGAAATTAAAGTTCAAAAGGGAAGCTTGGTTGTTGTTATACCAGCCCATGTCACTCATTTGGGGTACCTGGCTCCTATAGGAAGCAGTCCTGGTGGTGCTCTGAGTTAGGCACTGGACTGCTAATCAAATGTCTGGTGGTTCAGAAACATCATCCACTCCATGGACAGAAGATGAGATTGTCTGCTCCTGTACAGATTTATAGGATTGGGAACCCTACATAGGGTTTCTAGGAATCAGAATCAATTTGTTGGCAGTGGGTTTGGTTTGGAAGGAACTTGGGCCCCTGTTGGGACCTGTTAAGACCCCTGGTCTATAGTCTCGCTACCTGTCATGTAGGTAACAGAAACAGTGTACTGCCCACACTCACACAGCTTTATTCTCGGTGCTGAGTCACAGGGACCTTCTAAAATGTCAAATCCAACATTGTACTCTCTACTCTTAACATCTGCCAGTGCCTCCCAGTTTCCTTTACAACAAAGTCCAGACACTGCATATGATCTGGTCACAGGCTCAACTCTTACAGCTTCACATCTTCACCTCTACACTCCAACCACACCCAAACACTTTCCCCTTCTTGAGCAAGCCACATGCCATTCTTTCTCTGCAGTACTCTTTCCTCTCTGTGGACTCCTACCCAGCTTTCAAAGCCCAGCTTAGATGTTCCCCACTGTGGAAAGTCTTTCCTGATACCCCAGTTCCCTGATTCTAGATTTTCTTAGTCCTTTGTGTTTGCTTTTATTGAGTACTTAATTTTAGTTTACAACTGCATCTCACTGTATCAGGTAAGATCTGGAAAACAATGACATTAAAAAGAAGTTTGTCTGTCTTACAAATTAAAGAAGACTGTCCAGGTTTGGTAGGTTAGCTTTAAAAGGTCATCAGGGATGTTAGTTCCATCTTTCTTCTCCAGCCATCATACATATTTTAGACTAGTGTAGACTAGAAGTATAAGCAAGTTGGCAAAGGACAAAAATACCCACTCCCAGAGGAAATGAAGAAGTCTTCTTAGAGGCTCCATACTACACGTCTACTAAAATCTATTGGCCAGAACTTAGTCACAAAAGCATACCTAGCTGCAAAGAGTGTTGAGAAATTGGTTATGGCAAATGCTTCACCCCACAAAAGAGAATCAGAGCTCTATTCCTAAGGAAAAAGGTGAAAAAGGATGTGAGTTTCCTGCAAGTGTGGACCAGTAGTTATCTCATTCACCTTAGGCTTGGCACACAGTAGGTACACAATAATGGCTAAGAAATACATTTGCACCAGAAACCTACCTGGGAAAGAAAGTCCTTCTATTTCAGGCCTCCCTCAATTTATAATTTAGCCTTCATCCCATTTGTCACAGTCTTGACAAAAGTAGATTAATTTCCCAGCCTTTCATTGCTTTCTAAAACCTCCTCAAATTGATTCTGAATTCATGAAACCTATTCTGAGAGATGTGCCATTTGACCAAGGTCTAATTTCTAGGGCTGGATGCATAATGAAGTCTTTGTGGATGCAAATCACTGGAGACAGCAGTTGTAACGTCTCCTTGGACTGATCCCCTCCCCAAATCAATGGCAGGGGGTTCTTTTAAGAAATGAAAGCCTGTTCCTTCTGCAAACTCTGGAAGCTCCAAATTTCAGATTTCTAGAGGGGCAAGTTATTTAAATAGCAACACAAAATGACAGGCCTGATTCAGGCTAATGCCTCCAATCAAAACAAAACTCCTATACAACAGCAACAACAAAAGAAAAACAAAACCAGTTGTTATCAAGTTAGTTCCAGCTCATGGTAGTGCCATGCGTGTCAGAATAGAACCGTGCTCCACAGGGTTTCTGAGGGCTGATTTTTTGTGTTAGTAGATCAGTAGGGCTTTCTTCTAAGATCCTCTGGGTGGGCTTGAACCTCCACTGTTCAAGTCCCACAACCACGGACTTGATATGTCCTTATTTTTCCTCCAAAGAGGAAAAGAAATGAGCTTTGTCAGTAAGGATGACACTCTTGGATGGGTTAGGGAAAGAAGAGAGTTGTCCATCATTTTTTTTCTTTGGGGAGATGGTTTGATCATCAAAAACACAGAGTTGGTATGTTTGAGCCACAGTACCAAAACCCGGGGTATATTCCTGTTAGTATTGGTATCCGTCACAGGATTTTCTTCCTCAGGACATCTCCACCACCACTTTGTGGCATCTGCATCCTCTCCAAACAAGTTTCATCTCCCAGGTAGCTCTGAGAAATAGATATGAACCTCATAGTCCCAACACCTGTTCTATTTCCCATATACCTAACACTTCAACAACCTGATGCAAGAAGCTTCCCATTGGTGGACACCATTCTCCTAAAGGCATTATTGTTGAGCAGGAAAAAACAGTATTTGTGGTGCATTATGTGAACTGTGGAACTTTTATACATGAGTGTCTAGGAGGGCTGCCCACTTTGACAGGTGCTGGTATCCACCCATCAGAGGCTGGTTTACATATGGGTAATGGTATGGATGGTAGAGTTATTAGATGTTGCTTCTTGGTACCAAGGACATATCTCCCTCATGAACAGGCTTCTTAACACATCTTTCATAAACCTGGGATGCATGGGAGTGGGAGAGATGGGTAAGACAAGTCAAAAATGAAGGTTATCTCCAGGTCAAATGGAATCATGTCCACCAATTACTAGGAAACCAAACCACTTTAGAGTTAGTAGTTGAAGTCCAAAATACCTGTTTGTGTTATCACAGCCTGTTGTTCTTGCTGTTAAGTGTCATGGAGTCAGTTCCAACTCAAGTGACCCTATATAGGGTTTCAGAGGAATGGGTGGTGGGTTTGAATAGCCGACCTTGCAGGTAGCAGTCAAGCGTTTATCTGACACCACCACAATAGCCATGCTGTTTTTGTTATTTAGGGCCATAAAGTTGGTTCCAACTCATAGTGACACTGACAACAGCCTGGTTTTGTTGTTAAGTGCCATCAAACTGGTGCCCACTCATAACGACCCTCTATAGAGCTTTCAAAGAGCAGCTGGTGAGTTTGAACTGTTGACCTTGTGGTTCAATCCAACTTTGCCAGCCCAGTGCTTTAGCCCACAGCGCCACACCATGACAACAGCCTAGTTGGTGCCAAAAGCATTATGGGTAGCTCTTTTCTTACCCCACTGATTACATTCATAAGCAAGACTGCACATAGACAGCCTTGGGAAACACAGGGCTTCTGGCCTTCCTTTCAAACATAGATTTTGATAACTGAGCTGGAGTCAACTCCAACCACCCACCAAGGGGTGAAAAGTGCCTTCACTGATGATGTCATGCTTTCTTGGCATCCTAAATCTAGCTCAGAGTCTCCCAAATCTTTCCTCTTTTTCCCTTTGTTGTTGGTGTTAAGTGCCATCGAGTTTGTTCCAACACATAGTGACCCTGTATAGGGTTTCCAAGGAGCGGCTGGTGAGCTTGAACCACTGACCTTGCAGTTCAAATGCCTTTGCAGTCTGGTGCATTTACCCATAGCGCCACCTTAACCATTTATTCATTTAGCAAATATTGACTCAGCTTCCTATGTGCCAGGTATAGGGCCAGGAGCGATTAACAAGAAGACAAATAAGATGTGGCCCCTGCCCTCAAGGAGCTCCCAGTCTGAAGGGGAAGACAGACCTATGAACAGGCAATTGCCATTCCGTGAGATCAGGGTTGTCAGGATCCATAATGGGGTCCTTTAAACAGGAGTGACTATAGTTCCAGAATTCCAGAGGAGAGAGGAAAATACAATGGGTATGTCTTTATTTTATATATAAGGAACCAACATTTGCCACTCTTCTCCCCATTCTAAAACAGTGCAACCATCACCAAAATAGAAAGTTAAAATAAAAAATTGTGAAAACTTCAGCTTTATTCAGCGATTCCTATCATAACATGCTTGTTCATGTTGGAATACAAACAGTTTTTCACAGCAAAGAATATACATATAAGACTCTTCCTATAGTCACTCACGTTCCAGTCATTATCTTGGTTCCTATAATTAGGACTCCTGGTGTAGTGCTATAGGGTTAGCACTGAACTGCAAACCACAAGGTCAGCAGTTCAAATCCACCAGCTATTCTTTGAAAACCCTATACAGGGTTGCTATGAGTTAGAATTGACTCGACGGCACTTAACAACATAATTATTTGGGGTCCATCTCAATACAAGTATCTCTTTCCCTATCTCCCTTTCCTTTACTATTTTCCACCCATGTGTTCTCTGTCTGTGTAGACATTCCTCTTCTCATTTTACCTCTTCTGCTAGGGAAGTTTCTGGTGACTAACAGTCACCAAGTAACTAGCCTCACGCTGTGTGTTTCAGAACCACGGACAGCTACCAACACCAGTAACCCTGGGTCTCAACCCCTCTGGCTTTGTGTAAAGCAGATTCCACGCTAGGAATGAAGAGAAAATGAGTGAAGGGGGCCAGCCATTTGCAAATCTGGACCATTATAATGAAACACTTGGGGTGGTTCTTCACTTACATTCTCCCAGTTTTCTGGCTGCACAAAGCCCACCCCATCTATGCTTCATTTTCTCACTTTTGAGAGTGTTGTAAAATACAACAATCTGAAGTATGCTAACAAGGGACAGCTAATGTGATGCAGAGAACTGGGATCCACAGGGACTGCTGAGCACATGCCTGTGTACAGGTCAAATGCAGCAGGAGTGAGGAAGGGTAGGTAGAACCCATCTCAGATCCTTTCCCACCTCCCAGCCCTCCACCCAGGAAGTTGAAGGTCTAAACTTCCACATGAAACATTCCAGTTTTCAAAAAGTTGTCACTTACCTCAAATAAAACATATTTCTGAGCTAAATTCCAGTCTATGGATCTCCAGTTCAGAGCTATGGGGATCAGACAGAGTTTTCGGAAAGTGGCAACACCTCGTTGGGATCGCAAACAGTTCTTTCTCTCTGGTTACCAGTGAGTCTAAGAGGGGGGAGAAAAGGTGACATGAAACAGGAGCAGGAGAGAGCACCTGGATCCTCAGAGCCACAGAGGTCATGTGGAGGAATTTAGACTTTGCCCAAAAGGAAATGGAGAGTCACTTTAGTGTTTTAAGCAGGAAGTGTGGCAGTCAGGTGACAGCCTGTTCAACACTGTCAGCTGCCTCTCCTAGGACCCTGATCTACTCCTCCCCGAGAGCTCCCTGACTCTCAGCCCACAGGCACACCCATACAGTGGCCCCTTTTGTTCCCATCAGATCTGCAAAAGCTACTAGAGATGGTTTGGGAAGATGCCCGGAGAACAGTCATCAAAGAAGATGGGACTCAAAAAAAAGTACCTAGGTATGTTCTCTTGACTTTTGGGGACAACAGTGAGGATATTAACAACAGCAGTTTCCAGTTATAAGACATTTTCTCTAAGTCAAGCACTGAGCTCTGTTCTTTATTCACCTAAGTTGCCTCCTTGCATTCTTCGAACAACCTTATGAGGTAGTTACTATTCCCTTTATTTTACAAATAAGGAAATGAGGCTCGGAGAGCTTATACCACCTGTTCAAGGTCATCCTGCCAGTGAATGGGAAAGCCACACTAAAATCCAGGTTTTTTTAATTCTAAAAGCTATTCTCGTAAGCACACTGCTACTCTGAATCCCAGGAATCCTAAGACTATTAATGCATTCTTTTTATAACTATTTATAGATAATGTACTATTTATGTTATTGTTGTTGTTAAGTGCCATCAAGTCAGTTCCAACCCTGTATAGGGTTTCTGAGAAGCGGCTGATGAACTTGAACCACTGACCTTGCTGTTCAAACTGACTTTGCACTCCAGCATATTAACCCACAACACCACACCAAGATTTATGACGGTACTTCAAAAAGTTCACAGAAAAATTCCATGGTCTTTCAATTTCATTTGTCTATGAACTTGTTGAAGTTCCACCTCTGTATTATTAAGAAAAGTGTCATGAAGGGTAAACCTCTAAGTATAAATAATAGAAGTGTCTGAACTAGTCAGGAGAAGGGATGGGGATCAGAGAAGTTTTCCCCAAAGAGGAAACTTTAGCTAAGATTTGGATGAAGCATGAGAAAGCTTTGGAGCAGGCATCCTATGTGTACACATGCTCTATGGCATCTTTGAGGATCTGAAATGAAATCATGACAAGATGGAGAGATGCATAATTGGTCTGTGGCCCTTGGAGGCCACCTCAAGAATTCTGGTTTTTATCTTAAGAGCAACAGGAAGTCTCTAAAACTTCAAGCCAGCGACCAATATTATTGGCTCACCAAGAGGTGTTATGAGACCTGGACTCGAGGAGCCCTCCCCTTGGTGAAAAGCCTTGTCCACAGGACTTCTGACATCTAAACATCTCAGAGAGCACACAGACATGAACTGAAGTTCCCTTCCTCAGGGTAGATTCCCTCTGAGTAGGAAAATTACTTTCCAAAAATAAATGAGGCACTGGAAGAGGTTCATCATCATCTTCAGCCCACTGGGATGCCGGCTGTGACTTATTGGTTATTGTTATTACCATAATTACAGTTCACCAAGCATTTTCATATGCATCACACCCGCTTCTGCGTGTTGGTGATGGATTTGTCTCCTGCTGCCTCGATCCGCATTGGAGCTCGGGAGAGTGGCACTTAGAGGGACTCGGAGATGATGCTGGCCCATAAAGCCCCAGTTGCTGTGCCCAATTTGTCAGTGTCACAGACAGTGTAAGTGAAGCACCCACTCACTGAGGCCCCTTCCCTTGTGAGAAATGACAGACATGAGCACTGGTGTTGGACTCAGACTGACCTGGTCCAAACCAGATGTCCTTAGACAAGTCTCTTAACCTTTCCCCAATTCTCAATCTTCGAATCTAACAAATGAAAACATGCAGCAGTCAAAGCACTGGCTTTGGGATCTAATAGGTTAAGGCCCATCTCCATGTCCATTGTTTACTTGCTGTGTGATACTAGGTAAGTTGCTTCACCTCTCTGATTCTTTTGCTATAAAATGAGGCTTATTAACAATCTACCCCAAATGGGTGTACATGAGATTATCCTTGTATTTTATTGGTGTTACGAAAATCATGCCTATTGCAATGAGTCATTTTAAAACATTTAGTAAAATATTGCATGTAGTATACTTAGTATGTGCCAAGCACCCCATAAATGGCAGTGATGGAGGTGATTGGGTGAACATTACTTTTATTCACATATATTGTCCCATGGCAGTTTCGCAGAACCTTGCTGAGATGGGTATTCAAGGGGGCTTCAAAAAGTTCATGGGAAAATTGCATTATCTTTTCATTCCATTTTTCCATGAACCTTCTGAAGTCCCCTCATAGTAACCATCACCACCACTCCATCTCAGAGACGGAGGATACCACCAATGAGTGACTTGCTTAAGGTCTTCAACAACAAAACCACCAGCAGAACCTGGTTTTCACAAGACCCATCACATGGCCTCTGCCTTCACTTTAAGGAGAAAATAACCATGGTTACAGAGCAGAGAACCTGTTGAAATCTCTAAGCGACATCATTTCCCTTGGGAGGCAAAAAAAATGATCTCCCTAATCTCTGGCCCAGGCAGCAGATATTGACGGCGTCAGTGTGGAGCTGCGGAGAGGCAGTTAGGGAGCACTACAGATTCTCTCCAGCGCCTCACTTTGAAAGGGATTCCACTGGCCTCATGTCACACACCAGATTTGCTCCCCCTTAAGGCTGAGTTTGAATCCTGGGGATAGTAAGAACCCTAGTGTGGTGTTATAGGATAAGCACTGGACTGCAACATCAGTTTGAACAGCAAAATCAGCCAGTGGCTCCTTGGAAACCCTATACACGGTCACTGTAAGTCAGACTGCATTTAGCAACAGCAGCCAACCAGTACACCTCCCAGCCCAAAGGTCAGACTGGCGCCTCGTTGTCTAAGAAGGTGGTTTCTTCTCTTAACACCCTCCAGTTGTTGTTGTTGTTTGTTGTTAAGTGCTGTCGAGTCAATTCCGACTCAAAGTGGGTTCCAACCCAAAGCAGGTTCTGACCCATAGAGACCCTGTATAGGGTTTCCAAGGAGCAGATAGTGAGCTTGAACCACCGATCTTGCAGTTCAAACCAACTCTGCAGTCCAGTGCAGTAACCCACAGTGCCACACCAGGACTCCATACCCTCCAGTAGTAATGTTTACCAAATATCCTGTAAGAGTAGAACTGACTGAAGTTCTTTGTTAAAAATTTCCAGACCTCCTCCCAGACCACTAAATCCAAACCTCCAGAGTAAGCGACATTTTTTACAAGCAACGAAATTGAACATTATATCTCAGTATAAGAAAAAGTCTAGAGTTCTCAAAGTGTGCTCCCTGAACTGCATGTATGTGTAGGGGTGTGGGGTTAAGTACAAATTCTGGGGTTTTGCTACAGGCCTCATGAATCCAGGCCTCTGGGAGTGGGGCCCAGGAATCTGTATAACCAGCATAGTCTCAAAGTGGTCTTTGTGCGTGGTAGGGATTCTCCCACAAACCTTCCTTGTCTTGGTGCACCATGTGTTCATTGCCTACATAAGAGGCTCCTCCTGTTTTACAGTATCTTGTCTATGGTGAAGCAAAACAAGAGCGAGTCTGCGTCCAAGGACACACAGACCAATACTCACAAATCCAGGTAAGAGGTCCAGAGCCTGCAGCAGGTGGGTCAGGAAGCACCCTACAGGTAGAGGTCACAGCTGAGATGTCCCTCAGCAGATGATGGAAGGTGGGGTGAGAGGCAGAAGGGTCCCTTCCCTTCTTCCTTGTGAGCTCACTGGAAACAAGCTCCTAAACTCCTGGGGACAGGGTGAGTATCCAGATGTTTCCCCCCAACAGCTTTACACCATAAAGCGACATCTTCCAGTGCCAGAGGGGTGGCATGAGTGGATTGCTTTATTTGGGTGACTTGGGAGGTGAGAGTCTGCCCCTGCACACAGATTCATTTAGGAGATACTCACTGGTTACGTGCTATGTGCCAGGGACTCTGCTGAGCACTGGGGATTCAGTGGCAAACAAGGCTAACTCAGTCTGCCCTCAGGGATCTCACAGTTTGCGCTGGCACACATGGGCCCCTTTGGCAGTCTGAGGAAACCTTTCAGAAAACTGTTTTTAACAAAAAAAAATACATACTATAAATACAAGAAGTCCCTGGGTGGTGAAATGGCTAACATGCTCAACTAACCAAAAGGTTGGCAGTTCAAGACCACCCAGAGGTACCCTGGAAGAAAGCCCAGTGATCTGCTTCTGAAAAACCAGGCATACTGCGTCCCATAGAGCACCCTTCTACTCTGACACACACAGGGTTACCATGAGTCTGAATCGACTGAACGGCAAGTGGGAGTTTTTGGTTTTTTTCTCTAAAATACAAAGGAACAGAAAGAAATCTATAGTAATACAGATTACCATACTACAATCAAATTTGTGACATAGTAATCTATAAGCTTCTTTATTAGTGCCTTATATAACAAGACTTAACAGCAGGTATAAGAACTACCATAATTTTAGATTAGTGTTGAATATAAATGGGTTTTCAAAAATTACCCCCACAGTTGGAATGTGATATGCAAATACCTGTGATTTCCATAATGGTTAAAGGTTAAAGAGAAAGAAACAACAGTGTTCCCAATATACCTCCTGGACCTCTTGATTTCTGCCCAGGGACATCAGGTTAGGAAACACTGGTCAATAGGGGAGTCACACATCTATCAGATAAGCCCACAGTCAGCCATATCATCGTGATTGTGAACAGTGATCTGAAGAAGGAGAGCTGGGTGTACATTTAACACCAGGGTTCTAACCAAGGCTGAGTTTGACAAGTAAGCTGAAGAACAAAGAAGAATCAGCCTAGCTATGAGGTGGGAACAGCACTCTAAACTGAGGGAATAGCTTCTGCAAAGGAGAAAGCTTAGAGGCAGTGAGCAAAAACCAGTATGGCTGGAACTAACTCAAGGAAAGCCAAGGCAAGCAGACAGTGAAGCAGGCAGAAAGGTCTCTCTAGCTGTTACTTTGTGTTTGTCTGTTTATCACCAGCTAAGTCCTCGTGTGGCCTTGTAGGATAAGCACTCGATGGCTAACCACAAGGTCAGTGGTTCAAACCCACCAGCTGCTCCTTGGAAACTTTATACAAGGGTCACTATGAGTCAAAACCAATACAACAACACTTAACGACAATAAATAATAAAACCACTTCCATCTCCCACTCCCTAAGTCACAGCCAAGACTGTCGCAAAGAAAAAATTTTCTTCAGGAGATAGGGGCCAGAGCCAGCGCCCTCTGAAAGGTTAGACCCCAGCATCATTACTGGGGTCCTAAAGCCCAGGCAGGTGAGATAAGGACTTGCTCCATCACTCACCAGACTGGAGACCTCTAGAGTCACTTCTATGAGTTTCTGGGAGAAGCAGCAAAGACCAGGCCCTTTTCTATGAAGACAAGGGTCTTAGAAATGGCTGGATCTGCCTACCTCAAGAAGTCCCAAATGCCAAGGCCAGAGGGGAGACTTAGGCACACATCACAGGAATTAGTAAAAACAGTCTGACTTTCTAGAACTATGTGGAAAAGGAATCAAGTCCATTTTCCAGGCATTCAGAGAAAATGGGGTATAAAGAGGACAGGACAGAAGGCTCTAGACCCTGGTACTGAAGGCCTAGATCACTGGAGGAGGGCAAGGGAGAAAGTCACAGGGGAGGGATGGGCCCAGGCAGAGATTTCACACAGCTTTGGCCAGAATCCTGGCCAGACAGTCATAAAGGGAGGGTCATGAAGAAATGCAATCAGTCCACATCTCAAATGGGTCAGATGGCATGACAAACTGGTTGATGTCTGCCTCCTTTCATGAGACTCCAGTCCTTCTGAAAACTAGGCCCAAAACTGAGTTTATCTCTGTACTTATTCCAGTGTGTTTGTTGTTGTTAAGTGCCACTGAGTCAATTCTGACTCATAGCGACCCTGTATAGGGTTTCCGAGGAGCAGCTGGTGAGCTTGAGCCGCCGGCCTTCCAGTTCAAACGGCTTTGCAGTCTGGCGCATTAACCCACAGATATAATTATATGTTGGATGAATGAATAAACGACTGCTGTATAAATGGACCAGTAATTTAAAACTATACCTTGAGACCTATTTCTTATAAGCTTCTTGTTGTAGAATTTTCAAAAAAAAAATTCAAAGGTAGGTGCAACACAAAACCTAGACTCCTGGAATGGTTGGTAAAGACCTTCTCCTTCTCTCCACCCCACAAATAGCATTCAACACATTTGCTCCCCATGAGGGAAGGAAAAGGAGAGAAGAAAGGTTACTGCTGTTTACTGAGCCTCTGTTAGGTACCAAATACTTGCATCAGTTTTATTAATTTAAACCATATACTGTAGTGTAGGTATTGGAATCCCCATTTCACAGAGAAAGAAACGGAGGATCCAGAGGGGAGTTGCTTGTGCATGAACTGAGAAGTAGTGGGTCCAGGGATGAGGACAGAACCCAGCTCTGTCTGCCCCAAAACAAATAAAATTTAGCACAGGGTTTAGGTTACAGCTAAGGAGCCTTGAACTCTCTGGAGTCAGGACAGATTCCTGACAAATTCACTAGTAACACTCATCCATCTCTTCATCAAATGTGCACTGGGTCTTGTGGTAAGTGTAAATTGGGGGTTGAGAGATGGATTGAAGGATTCAAAATTATCTTCTCTACCAGATGTAAAGACCAATTGTAAACAAAACACAGATCCATAAAATGTGTAACCCTACATTATACAAAACCAGATGGTACGTTGACCTGCAGTAGTGTGAGTAGACAGGATGTGCTGTGAACTATAAAACATGGGTAGGACTTGAAAAGGTAGAGAAGAAACAAGGAAACCCTTCAGGCAAGGAGCATGACAGAAACAAAGAATAAAAAGTGGGGGAAACAGTGAGTTCTGAGACTGGTACCGTGATCAGAACCACCTCCCTTATATGAATCCTGAAGATGAGTAGGTGTCAATCTTGAAGGCAGGGCTTTGGGGAGGGAGGAGACATCATGAGAAGATAACAGACAACTTTAAATCATCCCTTTGTGTTTCAGTGACAAGTCCAGCAGTACAAGCGGAGACAGCCACACCCAACTAGTCCAGAAGAAGAGTAAAATGTGAGTGATGGAAGGAGACAGATAAGGAATGACCAAGGGCTGTCCAGACTCCTGAAGCCATAGACACTGCCGAAAGGCAAGGGCACCTGGGCTGGGGCTCAAAGCCAATATGCTGAGCAGCAAGGCAAACAATGGCAAGACACTGTGCTGTGCAAAATGTTGTATTGCCTAGCTGGATCCACAGAAACAACCGTAGGAGGAGGGATCACAATTCCATTTTACAGAGAAGCAAATGGAGATTCAGCAAGGTGAAATGTCTTGCCTGAGGCCACACAATGGTGACACTAGAATTTGAACCTGAGTCTCCCAGATCCAAATCCCATTTTCCTCCCTCTGTCCTTAGCCAGACATGTCACTGTGGGCCATTGAATAAGGCCTGATGTTGCTGGAAGGTCTGCCTTTCATCCACCCAGGCAAGCACTGAAGGGAGAAGAGGGACAGGGCATCCCAATGCAGACTACCTTGGGCACCAAGGAGGCTGAGGTGGGACCCATGTGGCTAGTGGAGGGGACTCTTGGGCTCCATCCTCCATGTCTTTGTTGTCTGTGTCTACAGCCACCCCATTCGTGATATCCTCCAATGTAAGACTGATGTATGTGGCGCCATGAGGGCCAAGTTTTACAGCGTGGCCCAGGAGGCCGGCTTCTGTCTCCAGGACAAGATGGAAATCCTCATGAAGTAAGAGCACACATACCCAGTCACAAAAAAAAAAGATGCTGTCTAGGCACCTACTACATGCCTACATGTGCCAGGTACCGGGGCTATGGTAAAGAACAAGAAAGACATTACTTTCACTCACAGAGTTTATTCGCACTAGCCTACTGTTGTCAAATTGATTCTGACTCACAGCAACCAATAGCATAGGACAGAACTGCCCCATAGGGTTCCAAGGCTGTAAATCTTTTTGAGAGCAGATTGCCTCATCTTTCCCCTGTGGAGCTTGAACTGCTGACCTCAACAGTTAGCAGCCCGTTTAACCCACTTCAGAAGAAATAAAAGCATTTCATCAATAAATACGTAGACACAAGTTATCACTGCCATGCTGGAAGAGAACAAACACACTTACTAAAAGAGAGAGAGGAACTATAGAAGCCTAGCTGAGGTTAGGCAATCTGGGAAGGCCTCCCTGAGGAAATGGCTTTCCACTGAGCCCTGAAGGACAAAGAGGAGTTGGTTGTGTGGTGAGAAGTGGAAGGATATTCCTGGCAGTCCGGAAGGTGCCTTCATAGCTCAAGGACAACAGAATGAGTAGGGAAAAGGGGCAGATGACAGGTGTACTCTGCATGCACAGCCGGGAATGCATCTCTGGGACCTGAAACTTCATTTTGAGAGCACCAGGAAGCCACTGGAAGTTTTACTTTTCTATTCTGGCATCCCAGTCTGTTCCTTGACTACAGTGACCACACATTCATTCATCAAAGGCTGCATGGTGACCCTTTGTCCTCTCGTGTTTTCAGCAAAATAGACTACCTGCTCTAGGCAGGGTTCAGAGAAGCCCTCCAGAAGCTGCCAGTCTAGTGGGGGAGACAAGACATGTAAACTGCAGTCACTACACAGGGTGATGAGGGCCGGCATGGGAGAACGCCAGGTAAGCTGAGCAGACACAGAAAAGGGATGCCCTGTCTGACCCAGGACAGCAATCAGAAAGACCAGAGGGCCTTCCTGGAGAAAACAACATTCACAGTTAGATAAAAATAGATCCTGTTTCCAAGGTGCTTGCCATATACCTGGAACAAGTCTAAGGGCTTCACATGTATTTACTCATTTCACTCCTCACAGCAATTCTATAGGGTAGGTGCCATTATTATCCCCATCTCAGAGATGAGAGTATTGAGGCTCAGAAATGTCTCTTGTAGCAGGAGTGGAATTCAAACCCTGAGAGTCACACAGGAACCGTAGGAGAGGGAGGAGGACCTGGGAGAAGCAACAACAACATTCCAGAGTCCAGAGTGGCACAGGGAGCTGGCGACAGAGAGTGCTGGTGAGGTGGTCAGCGAAACAGGCAGAGGATAGATCACCAAAGGTGTTAGAAGCCCTGATTTGAACTGTATCTTGAAGACTTTGATTATAAGCCAAACATAAAATGCTGGGAAAGAAAGGAGACGGGGTGGAGAGAAACGAAACTAGAGAATGTTTTAAGGGCCAAAAGTGCAGAACCTGAGAGGGAAAGTTTTTATTCTGAGGAAAATGAGGAGCCACTGAAAGTTGCATGCAGGGGAGTGACATGGTTCTATTTATAAGATTAGGTCTCCTTGGAGAGATATGATATATGCACAAAAGGACAAGGGGAGTAGGAAAAGAACCAGTATGAATGTACTTAACAACAACGTGTCTGGCAAGGAGCTCTGATAGTGTAGTGGTTACGAATCGGGCTGCGAACCGCAAGATCAGCAGTTCGAAACTACCAGCTGTTCTGCGGGAGAAAGATGAGCCTTTAAGATTTACAGCCTCGGAAACCCTGTCCAGGGTTGCTATGAGTTGGAACCGACTCCACATAAAGATTTACAGCCTCGGAAACCCTGTCCAGGGTTGCTATGAGTCGGAACCGACTCCACAGTACATAGCAACAACAGCAACATGTGTCTGGCATTGTGTTGGGTACTTTACATACTTTCTCTCATTTAAGCATCAACTCTGAGAAGTAAGGGCCACTATTATCCCATTTCACAAATGAGAAAGCTGTGTAAATACAATCAAAAAAGAAGGGAATAGGGAATAATAAAAAGTGACTGGGTATGCCTAGGGTACCTTGGACCTGCAAATGGTTCAGCAGTCAAGTCCTAACCAAAAGGTTGATGGTTCAAACCCAACCAGAGGTGCCTTGGAAAAAATGCCTGATCTTCCCAAAGCTCACTGCTTCAAAACTCCTATGACGTTTAGTTGTATTCTACACACATAAGGTCACAATGAGTCAGAATCAACTTGCTGCCAAGTGTCTTGTAGTTGGGCAACTGGCAGAAAAGAGTGTTTCGGGACTTTGGAGAGAGTTGTGTTCCTTTGTGAATACCAGATTGTAGATATGGAGTGAATAGGAGGGTGTAGAGGATCTTATGATGGGAAGGGTGTTCACATCAGATCACAGAGGGCAGCGAAGATGGTGTAAGAAGGGGTCTGATTCTTCTCCCTCTTTTTTGTACAACCTGTCATGTAGGCGCCAAGAAGAGAGGGGTCTCCAGAAATTCAATTCTTTTCTCCTTGTCTCGACTTTTCAAAAGGATATAGCAAAAATGAGACATCAGGTTTCCGTTGTAAAAGGAGATGCTGAAGAAATTGCAGACCACTGGTAAAGATCCTGAAGGCCAGATAAGACAACCCCTGCTGATGCTGGTGGTGGTGGTGGGTGCGAGGGCTGTTATTACAAAGTTACAACTGATCACATTATCCTCCAAGTTCTAGAGCGGTATCACCAAGAGAGTCCCCCAAAGAGGATAAATCCAGAGCATAAGCAGGCCAAAACCCCTCAGTTCTGAACCACAGATCATCCACCCAGCTGCATTCTCTGTTTCTACTCTTTGCTTAACTCAGGTTTGCAAATAAAGATAAACTCAGGAGTCCTCCCAGGACAGACGGATGAGGCAAATCAGCCCTAAAATTTCTAGATCTAACGTCTGTTGGGTAGATACTCTATTCCCCCAGTCACGGACCCTCTCAGGGATAAAAGTAGGCCAGCAGATCCCGGTAGCAGCATGCCCTGGCATAAGGATGTAATAACCAACAGCCATGACTGAGAGATTACAGTATGGTCGATAAGCACTGTTCACTTGTTTTGTTCCTCACAAAAGTCCTGAAGGGCATATATTTACTCCCATTTTATAAACAAGGAAGCTGAAGCTCAGAGAGGTGAATGCATTTGACCATGGCCACACTGCTCATGAGGGGTGAATTCAGGATTTAAACACTATCTGATCCCAGTCTCTATGCTCTAAGACTAAGACAGGTGGGGGCGTCCAGACCACAGACCGTAAGTTGTTGTTGTTATTGTTAAGTGCCATCAAGTCAGTCCCTACCCATAACGACCCTGTTTCTGAAGAGAAGCTGGTGAGGATAAAACCACTGACCTTGAGGTTCAAATCAACTGCAGTCCAGCGCATTAACTCACAGCACCACATTTAATTAAACGTGTGACCAAATACAGGCTAATTTTTAAGTTGATAATTTTATATGGACTGCTAATTATGTTATACATTTTAATAGAACAAAAGGTTCCCCACCCCTACTCTAAGATAAAAGAATTGAAATCTGATGAGCTATGATTGAACAAACTTGATCCTAATCAATATCTAAAAATAGCTGAGGTCTAATGCTGCACCCAGAATCCCCCTTCCATAAGCTTACTAATCTGGAACTGTAATTTACTAGTACATTCTTGGGATCCTGACAGACTTGTGGGAGCTTCCACACACTTTTTCACCCAACAATATCTGCTCTAAAGACAAGTGGGGCTCTCAAGTGGGGGTGAGGGGGGGCTCATCAGAGGGGGAAAGTGGTTTTTGCAAACTCTTTGTCCTCTTTCTGGGGGAGAGTAGACAAGAGAGAGGAAGTTATAAACTAACTCAAATGAAAGCATTGCAGTGACAAATTAATGCTGATCCTCCCAGTAGGAATCAGCCAAAATCTCTAATGATCGAATTTTTGCCATCATTATGGAAAAGGGGATGAACCTTTACAGAAACTTTACAATCAAGTCAAGCAGGCAGTTTCTCAACAAGCTAAACACAGTATTACCAGACCCCCAACCCCACTACCATCAAGTTGATTTAGACTCTTAGCAACCTGGTAAGGATACAGTAAAACTATATATGAATTCTGTATCACAGAATTTCCAAGGCAGTTCTACTACATCTTTGTCCTGTAGAACCACTGACCCTTCAGTTCACAGAATAGCACTGTGGTCCTTGTAACACCAGGGCTCCTCTGAATTACCACAGGACCCAGTCATTCCATTCCTGGATGTATATTCAAATGAAATGAGAGCAAGAACACAAACAGACACTTGTATACCAATGCTCTTTGCAGCACTATTGACAAATGCCAACAGGAAGGAATAACCCAAGAGTTCAACATCAGATGAATGAATAAACAAAATATAGTGTTTGTGTACAGACTTAATATGTTTATGATACATGTTGTTGTTATTACATGCTGTTCAGTCACTCTGAGTCATAGCAACCCTGTATAGGGTTCCCGAGGCTTGAAATCTTCACAGGAGCAGAAAGCCTCATCTTTCTCCCACTTAGTATATATATGATCAGCTTTCATTCCATTTTTTCCATGATCTTTTTTGAAGTGTGTGTGTGAATTAAATAATGGAATATTGTTACACCATGAAAATAAATAAAATTCTAAAACATGATACCATGTGGAGAAACCTTTAAACTCTTATGCTGAGGGAAACAATCCAGACACCAAAGGATAAATATGACACATGCTATTTGTAAATATCTAGAGAAGAGACACATGCATAGAGACAGAAGGTACCAGTAGTGGATACCAAGGGCCTGACAGCATCAAGGGAAAGCTGGGGCTACTGCTTAATGGGTACGGAGTTTCTGTTTGGGGTAATGGAAAACTTCTGGAAAGAAACAGTGGCAGGGTTGTACAACACTGTATGATAAATGCCATGGATGCTACACATGGCTAAAAACACAAATTTTATCTGTGTGTGTGTGCATTTTACCACAATAAAAATAAATAAAGACAAACAGACTATAGCCTATTAAAAAATATGCTGGGGTGTGGCTATTCACTCATCCAGATATTTGTTCAGTCTTTCAAATCATATTTATTGAACACTGACTATGAGTTAGGTGGAATTCTACCACACTGGATATAAAATAACTCAGACAAGGGTCCCTGTTCTCATGCACATTCCGTTCTAAACTGGGAGACATAAATAGCCAGTATAGTTAATGTAAATATGTACTACAATATAAAGTAGTACAAGTAGCCCAGAATGTACGACAGATGGTCCATTTCTTCTTCAAAGTTTCCCATGGGTATATACATATTAGGAGAGGGGGGCCTTAAAAGTGACATTATCCCCTTGTCTTAAATCTTGTTCACACTTGAGCCACACCCCAGGTTAGAGTCTATCTGTTCCCACCATTACACACACTGTCATAAGAGTTAGACAAGTGCTCAGAACTCACTGAAATTCACATAGTGATTACAGCCCAGCTCACTTTCTATCATGAAGATGGAAAACACACATGTCATTGTCATCACCATCTCAACACCGCCACCACCACCATCACCACCCACCATCACCATCATCACCACCAGCACCATCATCACCACTACTACCACCACCATCACCATCACCATCATCACTACTACCACCACCCACCACCACCCAACATCACCTACTATTAGCATAATCACCACCCACCCTCACCAGCACTACCACCACCACGACCATCACTACCATCATCACCATCACCATCTTGCGTATGATCACAATGCCTTTTCCTTTCTTCTTGTTTTTCATATTTTCTAGCTGATAGAAAAAATTATGAATGAATTTTTTTAAAGGATGCCTTTAATTTGCTCTTTTTTAAATGAAATGCAAGTCCTGCTTCAACTTTGACTGCCCCTAAACAACAAGGTCTTAGCTGATCTGTGGGTCCTTTACAACTCAGGAGCATGGAAGTCACCCAGATAGGTTCATGCTCCCCTGGAGAAACCTCAGGAAAGAGAGAGTGGGGACAGAGAGCCGGCAGTGCCCAAAGCTACCTCCTAGATATTCTAACTTGCCCTCTCCTCTTGGAACTGAAGGTACTTTGACCTATTATCCAAACTCCCAGAGGATCTGAAGAACTTCCGCCCTGCCAAAAAGATTCTGGTAAAACTGCAGAAGTTTGGGGAGAACCTAGATCTGAGGATCCGGCCCCATGTCCTACTGAAGGTGCTGCAGGACCTAAGGGTGTGGGAGCTGTGCTCCCCTGACATTGCTGTGGCTGTTGAGGTAAGCACGCCCTTCCTCCTCACAAGACCTCAGGTATCCTCATTCAAGCACTCTCTCCATGTCCAAGCACTAGTTAAGCTTTGGGGACACGGAAAAGAAGCCTCCAAGGTTCTGACTTGTCTAGAGTTCATATTCTAGTAGGAGAGAGGTTGTCATATGACCTTAGTTGCTCAATGCCAATGATTTGCCTTCAAGTCAGTGCCTGTTTTAAAAGAGATCACCAGGCCTTTCTTCTGAGGTACCTCTGAGTGGACACAAACTTCCAACCCGTAGTTTAGTAACCAAGTGTATTAAACATTTGTAACCCAGCAGCTATTTCAACTCCTGGGAACAGTCACTCCTATAAAAGTGGTGCCCTCAGGAGAGTCTGTGGAGATAGTTCAAAACAAAATACAAGGACTAGTGAATAAGATACACATCTATTTTAGCAAGGAGGCCTGGTGGTGCTGTGGTTAAGTGCTTGGCTGATAAGTGAAGGAGAAAAGATGCGACACTGTGCTTCTTTAAGAGCGACAGCCATGGAAACCCTGTGGGGCACTTCCACTCCGTCCTTTAGGGCCACATGAGTTGGAATCATCTCAACAGCAGCGTGTTGGGTTTGCCAAGGTTTTTGATATAAATAAGGAGCTCTCTAAAATTCACTACTGAAAGTGTGGTTCATGGACTAACAGCATGGATGATACTTAGGTGCTTGTTTAAAATGCAGAATCTCAGGCTCCACACCAAGCCTACCAACTCTGAGTCTAAGACCACGTGATTTGTATGCATGAAGAAGTTTGACGTGCACTGGTTTAAAAGGAAACAGAGAGGAGACCTACCTTACGTAGGGCAGTGGCATGAAGGTGACCTGAACAATGAGAAGCTGAGGGAAAAGACAAGGTCAGGCAGGACTTGTGACTTGGTGGGCTCGAGTACAGCCAGTGGTTTAGAAGGAAGAGAGGTGTGAGCTTCTGAGATCACTGCAGAGATGGCTAGGTCAGACTGGGCAGTCCGGTGAGGCCAGGTTACAGATTTAGGTCTGGGGAGTCAATGATGGTAAGCCAAACTCCCAAGTCCTTTTCAAGCATCTTTCCCAATAATGTATCCAAAGTAAGCATCAGAAGACATAAGCAGATAGTTGGAACCAAGGACTCCATGTTAAGGCGTCAGGAGATACTAATGGAGTCATGTACTTATTTTTCTCTGATGACTTGTGTATCTTAATAGGGTCTTCAGTCCATGGCCTGAAAAAACATGACTTAAATGGTGGGATTCCCTGGTCATGATGCTATTAGGCTTCTTGGTGTCTTTATGCCAGGTTGTTCCTTCCACAGGCTGACGTGTGTGTGTGTGTGTGTGTGTGTGTGTGTGTTTGAGTACAAGGTAAGGTGGGAGGGAGGTGGGGAGGGGAGAAGGATCTCTGCACAAGTTTAGATGTTGAGACTCCATTCCCCATACCCTGTGAGGTTCTTTGAGGAAAGATGCCTCTGCAGTCTAGTTTCAAACTAACTCCAGGGCAACCATCCCCCCTCTACCTGCCAATAACGGATCCCACCCCCACCCTCACCCCTACCTACCAGTGACAACAGATATGGAGAAGGCAGCTACTAAGTGGGTAAGAGAAGGGAGCCATGAAGCCTCCCTCTTGCTCAGAGGTGAGTTTGTAGCACAGCATTTAGTACGCCCTTCCCTGGTACCAGTGAGAACAAGACAGAACATCTAATGACCTGGATGGTAGGAGGAGGTCTCTTAATCTAGACTCCACAGGAAGCACCTGTCATTTCATAGGTCATGCAGGTTCCAACTCATAGCGACTCTGTACAGGGTTTCCAAGGAGCAGCTGGTGGGTTCGAACCAATGGCCTTGCAGTTCCAAACTGATCTTGCAGTCAAGTGCATTATCCTGCAGTACCACACCAAGTCCATAGCTATTACTAATTCTCAAAGAGGTCTGTAAACCAAAAGGCTGAAAGAAAAACTGAATTTTAAAAAATACATATACTACGTAGAAAAGAAAAAAAATGCAGCTAGCTAGGTATCCCTGCCCTTCTCAAATTTCTTTGAATCAGTAGCAAAAAGAAAGGATTTCAAATTAGCCTAGCTGAGACAGGAAGCTAGAAGTGGGGGGTCCTTTCTTCCAATGAACCAAGCCCCCACCCCAGTATGGTGCTTCAGGCTGAGGATGGCTGGAGGGATACGGAGGCCACAGATGTTACTCACAAAGCTTCTAGGATTTGGTGGCTGAAAAGAGTCTTAACTTTCATACCCTGCTCTGAGGTCATGGCCACTGTGTTTACCCTGCAGTTTGTACGAGAACACATCATCCACATGCCTCAAGAGGATTATATCAACTGGCTGCAGAACCGGATCAACGTCCCCATCCGGCCTCACAGTGCCCTTGCATAGTCTGGTACTAGGATGACCAGCTGTCCTGAAAGAGGAGGATGATTTAGCTCCACTAAATTGCATTTGTGTTCTTGCTTAATCCGGTGGGGACTCATTATAATATAAGGTCAATGGGACAAATGACCTCTGACAACATTCTAGAGGAAGATACTCCCAGGTGGCCCTCCCCACAACCCTGCACCCCAGGGCCAACCTCCTTTGGTGGCCTAGCCTGACTCTTCCTGCTTCCACTACTCTGGTTTCCTTCATCATATTCCCCTTGTCTGAATTCTATGTAATAAAACTGAACTGAGTATTTACTGTCCAGCTTCAAATGATCTGTGGAATCTGGATGTGGTATTCATCCCTAATCATAACAACAGTTGCCATTTATGAAACTTTCCTTATGCAATAGTCCCAAAGCTGCGTGCTTTACATGAACAGTTTTATTTCACTCTGACAGTAACTTGGTTAACTAGGCACTGATATTCTCCCTATGTCACACCACTGACGTTAGAATGTGCATCTTAACACTGGATGATGGTTCCGTGGGTAAATGGATGTTTGGGTGGGGATGAATGGAGAATACACAGATAGATACATGAATGAATACACACATAGATACAAAGATGGATGGGGGATAATTGGGGCATTCTCCAGAAAGGCAAATGGTGTGTAAGAAAAACCCTAATCCTAAGAGTCTGCATATGTTTTCAGATGGTCTTGGATGCACAAGAAGCTTATCTTCCTATCATTTAAAAACACAGGTAGAGTTTTTAAGCTATTTGGTCTTCCTGGTCTTGGGATATTCTACATTGTCACTATGTTACTAGGAACTGCAGACATGTCACCTCTCTCATAGCCAAACAAAATTATCAGTGGAATGACAAGGCATGATGTGCTGTCACACTAAAGTCATCAAAGCTCTCATGGAGCAAGACCTCAGACATCTCTCCAGGTCAATTCTGGGGGTGAGGGTAGAGGGTTTGAATTGGAACTGCTACTCAGTCTAAACAACATCTCATCTATCCATTCATACATTCATTCAATGAGCAGTTATTGAGAATCTAATGTGCACCAAGTTTCAGGTGCTAGAGTACAGTAATAAACAAAGGAGACATGGTCCCTGCCCTCAGACAGTATCCATGAAGTCAAACAAGTCAACCAAATATGACATGGAGGGTGGAGGGATTGCATAGCACTAACATCACTCCATGTAGATGCCCAGGGTGCCCTGAGAAGACATTTGGGTGTCAAAGTTAGCTAAGTATATGAGGAGACTTCAAAACTAAAACTTCTCCATTTTAAAAAGGAATATAGATGACAGGAGTAGAGAAGGAGGGGAATTCAAAAGAGAAAGGAAGGGGGCTAAGAAACGTAATGAAACAGCACCTTGGGAGAACAGCAGCCAGGGAGAAATTCCTGGCATGGGAATGCCTGAAGGGGCTCTAAGACCAACTACGATGCAAAACAACCCAAGCCCCTTCCACTTCACCTTTGAACTTGAGTAATTTCTACCACACATCCAAGGATCCGTACTAGTGCACTGGTTGAAACATTCGGCTGCTTACAATTTGAAATCACCAGACGCTCCAGAGGGAAAATTATGACAGTCTTCTTCCCTAAAGACTACAGCTTGAAAACCCTATGGAGCAGATCCTGCCTTATAAGATCGCTATGAGTTAGAATTGGTGTATGGTTATTATCCTGTCACATTGCAGAGAATGAGTATTCTGGAACATTAAACTGTACTCATGAAAAACCTGTACATAGACCAAGAGGCAGTTGTTCAAACAGAATAAGGGACCACTGAATGGTTTAAAATTAGGAAAGGTGTGTGCCAGGGTTGTATTCTTTCATCAAACTTATTCAATCTCTATGTTGGTCAAATAATCTGAGAAGCTGGATTATATGCAGAAAAACATGACATCATGACATCAGGACTCATTAACAACCTTTGACATGCAGATGGTACAATCTTGCTTGCTGAAAGCGAAGAGAACTTAAAATACTTGCTGATGAAAATCAAAGACTACAGTACCGGCTGCACCTCAATGTAAAGAAAACAAAAATCCTCACCACTGGATCAGTTAACAATAACCATATAAATGGAGAGAAAACTGAAGTTGTCAAAGACTTAATTTTGCTCAAATCAATCATCAACACTCAGGGAAGTAGCAACCAAGAAATCAAATGACATATTGTACTGGGGAAATCTGCTGTACAGACCTATTCAAACTGTTGAAGAACAAGGATGTCAGTTTGACCCAACCCATGGTACTTTCAATAACCTCATATGCATGTGAAAGTTGGACAGTGAATAAGGAAGATCATAGAAGAATTTGAGTTATGGTGTTGGAGGAGAATACTGAAAGTACCATGATCTGCCAAAAGAACCAACAGATCTGTGTTGGAAGAAATACAGCCAGAGTGCTTGGAAGCTAGGATGACCTGACTTCGTCTCTCATACTTTGGACATATTATCAGGAGGGGCCAGTCCCTGAAAGAGGAAAACCCCCAGCTAGATGGATTGGCACAGTAGCAGCAGCAATGCATGCAAACATAGCAACAATTGTGAGGTTGTCACAGGACCAGGCAGTGTTTTATTCTGTTGTGCATGAGGTCAGTACCAACTCGATGGTACCTAACAACAACAAGATCAGGTTGAAGCCGTTTGTTCTTCCGGCACATGTCCACAAAAGGCAAAATGCAACCTTGAGTATATCCCACCTGACTTTAGAAATCACCTCAAGAACACATTTGACACACTGAATGCTAATGACCAAAAGACCAGACAAGTTGTGGGATAACATCAAAAAGCATCATACATGAATGAAGTAAAAGATCATTAAGATAGGAAAAAAGAAAAGACAAAACCGCATGGGTGTCAGAAGAGATTCTGAAACTTGCTCTTGCACACAGAGTAAATTAAGTGAATGCAAAAAACGATAAAGTAAAAGAACAACAGAAATATCCAAAAGACAACTCAAAAAGACAAAGTATTAAAATGAAATGGGCAAAGACCAGGAGTTAGAAAAGCAAAAGGGAAGAACATGCTCAGCATTTCTCAAGCTGAAAGAACTAAAGAAAAAATTCAAGTCTCAAGTTGAAATACTGAAGGGTTCTACTGGCAAAATATTGAATTGTTCAGGAAGTACCAAAAGAAGATAGCATACACAGTGTCACTGTACCAAAAAGAAGTGATGACATTCAACCCTTTCAGGAGGTAACAAACAATCAGGAGCCAAAGGTATTAAGTAAGAAGTCCAAGTCCAAGCACTGAAGGTATCAGTGAAAAGCAAGGCTTCAGGAACTGATGAAACGCCAACTGAGATAACTGAAGTAGTGCTAGAGCCACTCACTAGTCTATACCAAGAAATCCTGACTAGAAGAGATCCATATTTGTGCCCATTCCAAAAAGGTGACCCAAGAGAATGCAGAAATTAACAAAAAGTATCGTCAGTGTCACATGCAAGTAAAATAATGCTGAAAATAATTCAAAAAATGATTGTAGCAGTCCAACGACAGGGAGCTGCCAGAAATGCAAACTGGATTTAGAAGAGGATGTGGAACAAAGACTAACATTGCTGACATCAAATGAATCCTGGCTAAAAGCAGATACTACCAGAAATATGTTTACTTGTGCTTTACTGACTATACAAAGACAAAAACTATGGAAAGGATTGCAAGAATAACAATTCCAAAGTGTTTAACTGTGCTCATGTGGAACCTATATACAGACTACGAGGCAGTCATTCAAACAGAACAAGGAGGTAATGTGTGGTTTAAAATCAGGACAGGTGTGCATGAGGGTTATGTCCTTTCACAATATTTATTTAATCTGCATGATGAGCAAGTAATCTGAGAAGCTGGACTATATGAAGAACACAGCATCAGAATTAGAGGAAGAATCATTACCAATCTGAGACATACAGATAACACAACTTGGCTTGCTGAAAGCAAAGAGGACTTGAAGTACTTATTGAAGAAGATCAAAAACATCTTTAATATGGATTATGCCTCAGCATAAATAAAATAAAATTTCTCACAACTGGAATATTAAGCAACATCACAATAAATGGAGAAAAGATTAACATTGTCAAGGATTTCATTTTACTTGGATTCATAATCAACGCTCAGGAAATCAAACAACTTATTTCACTGGGCAAATCTGCTGCAATTTTCAATTGCCTCACATGTACACAAAATCTGAACAATGAATAAGGAAGACAGAAACAGAATCTATGCCTCTGAATTATAGTGTTGGTGAAGAATATTAAATATGCCCTGGATTCCATAAAGAACCAACAAATAAATCTGTATCAGAAGTACAGTCAGAATGCTCCTCGGAAGCAAGGGTGGTAAGACTTCATCTCACAATAAAGTCATATTAATAGATGCCTTAAAGGCAACGCTTTAACATTTCATCAAGAGGGAAGTCTCTGAAGAAGGCCATCAGGCTTGGTAAAGTTGAGAGTAAGAAAAAAAAAAAAAAAAAAAGAGACAAATACCCTCACCAAGATGGATTGATATCATGGGTATAACAATGGGCTCAAATATAGTAACACTTATGAGGAGGGCACAGGATCGGGCACTGTTTCATTGTGTTGTGCACAGGGCTGCTATGAGATAGAGCTAACTCAAGAGAACGTAACAACAACAGCATAAAGAATGGAGTCCTGGTGTGGCACTGTAGGGTAAGTTCTGGACAGCTAACTTCAAGTTTGGCAGTTCAAACCCACAGCCGTTCCTTGGATACAGGGTCACTAATGATTTAAAACCAACTTAACAACTATATAAAATATATGCTATTCAATAATGTAAGTACACAGTGTTTATAAGCAGCACAGGGCAGGAAATGGCAGGAAGGAGGCTGGAGAGACAGGTAGAAGTCATATTAATAGATGCCTTAAAGGCAATGCTTTAAAGTGTGGAGTTTATTTTAATGAAAATGGGGACCGCTAGAAGGGTTTTAAGCAGATGTGCTTTCAGAAAAAGTAAATGGCTAATGTGTGTGGACA